CCCAGGTTGGATTCTGGTCAAGTCAATTTATGTAACTGATTACAAAAACTTCGCGTGGCTGGCATTTTTATACGTGAAACGAATATTCCCAAAAATCAAAGTTAGCTTATTCAAGATGCTACATTACCATATCTTATAGGGCAAAAAATGAAACGAACGAAAAAACGTATTGGTTACGCAGATGTAGCTACGCATAGTTTAATTTTTATTTTTAATTCCCAAATAGTTTTGTCTGCAGGTAGAAAACTGTTTGGTTTCCACATCTCTGTGGACATTCTTGGCGTCTCTGAACGTCGAGCTTAAATATATTCTTTTTTTGACACCTTCACCGTTAAAACTTTATCGCAACGCATATCTTCGCAGTCTCGCGAGTAAAAAAACCGCACTTTTATCTCCCGCAAATCGCATCATAACGCACACAACGCATCTACGCAAATTACCTGCGCATTCAAAGCACAAATTGCTCGTGACCCGAACCCCCTGCAGGGGAAGTGAAGCCGATCCATCTTCATTCCGGAGTGTCCCGGTGCCAGCGGTGGTCGAGCTGACGGAACCCCGACCCGAGATTGGCTCAGAGGTTAGTGGGACCAACTATTTCTCCTCTGCAGGCAAAATTATTTGGGAAACGTAATTTGGACTTCCGATTAAGATCCCGCCTGGTGTGGCTATTTACACGCCACACCACGTATTTCATTAACCTCTTTTTCTGATAACCTCGTTGAATAAAAGATCTGTGAATCACATGATTTGAAATATTTGCGATAGCGAACGTGGCCTGACCCGCCCTGATATTGTTAATTATTTATTTCACACTTGAACCTCTGTTGAAACACAAACTTTTTGATCTACGCTAATTAAATGTGATAGATGATGAAACCACTTTTAATTGAGTACCCAATATGTAAAGCAAATCTCATTTATTTCCGTTAAAACGATGTAAAGTTTTAAACTATTACGTAAGAAAGAGCACGCGGCAGGTCGCCCATCCGCTGGACAGACCAGGTCAAAACCGCACTCAATGGTCCACTCCACGAGTGCACAAGAAAGGCTGCAGTGCGGGAGGAATGGCGACGGATTGTGAGGCTTGCCACCGGACCTGACGACCACGACCACTCTGGAAAGAGTGTAGCGACGAAGAAGAAGAAAGAGGACTGACTAAGTTTCAATTCTAGCACTGCTTCTTTTCAGCTCTAACTCGCTTTCATTGACGAAATGCAGATATTTTATATAGAAAATTGAAATGTTTTTCATATACGGGACTATTCCCACCTCTCGGTCCCACCACTGCAACTCCTGTGTAGCCAGGATCTACAGCTTGACCGCCATAAAAAAACAACCAATGAAGGTCAATTTTCTTCCAGGGGAAAGTTAAACTGTCATTGGACCCGCAACGAAATTAATCAGAAGAACATACTAGGAGGAGTTCGAAGTTAAGCTTCGACTTCCCTCCATTGCAAAGCATATGAAAGGTGACAAAAAGAAGGTTTAATAACCTTTATAGTGAATATTTGTAAATTATAGCAACTACTGCTTCAGGATCGGGACAATGTATCAGATGATGCTACAGTGGCGGAATAAATTCAGTCATCTTTGTCTGCCTTGTTTTTAACAGGGAACAGAATTTATCAGATATTTATGTGGTACGTAAAAATACTTTTTAATACATAATATTATTTTCGTAGTAGTCAAGTAGTAAATAATTAATTAATAAGATTTCCTTGAACATCACTTATCTCCTGTGACACGGATGTGGCTGAAAAATGACAGCAACAAACACATTTATTTTGATACCTACTAAAATGTTTTCTACATTATTTTTTTCTCGGACAGATAAGTAGGTAATTATAAGGATGTGCCTTTTTCACCACTTCCCAAAAAGTCTATTACTATTTTCAACTACTTATTAGAAAATCTTTGGTTTCACTGGTCTCAGATGGAGCTTGTGGAGTTGTCACCGAATCATCAGCATTGCGTCAGATAACTTTATGAAACTATATCAGGAACTGCTCGGACCTAAATCTTTCTTATTTAATGGTGTAGGTGCAAGTTCATTTTATTGAAGGAAAAATCTATGTGCAATTTCTTAAGTAATTTAATTACAAAGCATTCTTGTTTACTCCCTTGTATCACTCACATTATATTACAGTACCTACATAAAGTAATAGTTGAATAAATTTTCAGTAAGAACACAAAGTAATTTAAAAACATTACATTGCTTTTTATAAGTTTAGTCTAAATAATTAAAGTCTAAACTCGTCATCTTTAATTTATAATAATTGGGTCTTTTCTACGTGTCAAACCATAATGTATTGGGTAAATTAGGTAGGTATCACAAAAGTGACAAAGATGGAGATAGATAAAAGTACTATTATGCCCGTGGTGGTGGGTATTTGCTACCACTCCCCAATGATTTTAAAGCACACCTTTTTTAAAAAGGCACTTCATTCTGGTCTTAAAAACTTAATTATTTTTAAATTACCTGTCAATTAAGATTGTTGGTTGCATTGTAGTTGAAAAAAGTAGTTTGATGCCCGTTTTCACCATCAATCCCTAATTTTTAAGTGACCCCCATGGTAACACAACAGGATTTTTGTTTCCTAGGGGTCACTTAAAAATAGGAATTGATGGTGAAAACGTGCATGTTGACAAAATAGTGACGTCACTGGCTAGTATTGCCATACAAAATCTATGGGAGAGTCTTGTTTTGACAGTTTTAAAAAGTGCGTCAATGAGGATCAGTAGGTACTGTTGTAGAAAATTCAATAAAACTAGTATCTACGTTAATCTTTAAGACATAAGAAAGATATATCTTTTTGAATTATCCAAATTGGACCATTACTTACGAAGATATTAAGTAACAAACATAGGCCGTTTTTGCCGCTAAAAGTCAACGTACGCAGGGCCGCGTGACGTCACTATATCCGAATCGAGCGCAGCCGGCGTACTATTGGGATGGAAAATATTTTTTTCCAGCTAAACTATCAGTTTTAGAAAAAAACTTTTAATAACATTTATTCATCAAAATAAAGTAACCTATCGACCACTTCGACCAGTAATTTTTTAAAATAAAAATTGTGAAAAATAAGTATCGCTTTGTCCAAAAACCACATTTTTATAGGATTCGATGGAATGCGGAGACGCGGTTGGGGTGAGTGTAACTTTATGATTGTTTGTATTGAACATAATAATACATAATATGAGTGCTAATACCCAGTTTCTGGCCTAGAGGGGGGGGGGGAGGGGATAAGTCATACCCAAGTGTAACTTAATGATTGTTTGTATTGAACATAATAATACATAATATGATGCTAATACCCAGTTTCTGGCCTGGGGGGGGGGTAAGTCATACCCAGCTTCTGGCCGAGGGGGAAGTCATGCCCAGCTTATGACCTGGGGAGAGGAGAGGGGCAGGGGAGTATACCCAGCTTCTAGGCTAAGATTAAATAGATTTCCAAGAGGGAGCAGCTGGCCCGCCCATGGGAACGGCGAATAGATAGGTAGGTACGTCGGTTTAACTCAGAAAAACTAAATAACAGGTAGGTATTGCGTGTACATCGAAATGATCTTCATAGCAATGTCTTGTAGCCTAGGCAGAGTGTATCTGCTTCAGCTATACTTATTGTTGAATGAAGTAAATAAATTAATACTTATACATTTTTATATTTTACTTGGACGAAGATATGACTCTAACAACACTTATGAACACTTTATTTGAATAAATCGCCAAATATACCACCGCGGAGACCCTAATCACGTCTCCGCGTTCCATTGAATCGTATGAGCGTATGGATTTTTTGCGATATTTTTCACAATTTCTATTTTAAAAAAATACCTATCGATAGCTTACTTTATTCTGATGAATAAATGTCATAACAAGTTTTTCTCTAAAACTGATAGTTTGGCTAGAAAAAAATAATTTCTATCCACGCAGTAGGTACGCCGGCAGCGTTCGGATCGGATATAGTGACGTCATCGCTCCCGCGCCGGGCGGTCAGTGAACTTTTTTAGTAATTTGGCCATAACTTGGTCAATTTTTGTCGTAGAACAAAAATTTTTGGACTGTATATTAAGGTTTTCTTAGACCTATAAATCTGCATTCACAGCTAAAAATCGAAATGATCCTCATTGAATGTTGGTGGGAAATACCCTATAGCAGGGGTGGCCAACTTGATTAGACATAAGATCTACTGTTTCCTAACGAAACCCTGGGCGATCTACCACTTACATACTTCCTGAAATCTTAAATGAAACAGCATAGTTTAGTACAATATCATGTAACAGCATAGTTTAGTACACAATCATGTAGTTTTTTTTGCCTTGCCACGATCGTCTGGACTAATAGTCGCGATCGACCGGTTGGCCACCCCTGCCCTATAGTGTCATTCTCACACAAATTGGCGAGTATGTGAATAAAAGAGCCTTCTTATCATACATATGCGAGTAACATGTCGCTGGAAAGCACGTAACAATGATTTAAGCAGGTAAACATCAACAACTTTCTAAGTTCACTGGTTATTTGTTGACCTTCAGCAGAGCGTTCAACCCAGATAACGCGTTGTTTTTTATTCGATCCAGTGACCTGTGTTTACTCGATACCTAACGAGTGCTTCATATTTCCTACCGTGTTGTTAACATTATAATTATGTAGGTTTTCGTTTTTAAAAGAACTTATTCTGGTAGCAGGGCCTAAGCCAGAAAAGTATTACTTGATGTTAACTTACAGATAACTTTTTATAACTTTTACTAGTTTTCTTAATTCACGTTATAACTGATTATTAGATAGTTATTTTTTGTAGATGGTTACATTTCTTCTTTCGCAAACAATAAAAAAAATTGGTCTCTTCTTTTTCCAGATAAGTATTTTTTTCGTTTTGGACTGAAAATGACCTAGTTTCAATGTAAAAATGTACATGTTGTAAGGATAGATTATGTAGGTAATAATAATTCGGAATAAAAAACATTACGTTAATACAAACCCTTTATTGTATCTCGCCCTGTAAAACCTCTCTTTACACTAACGTATTTACACTATACACGCTTTAGCGAAAGTAGAAAATAAATAAAATAAAAAACTATATCCATACGATCTCCGATATGTTATAATCACAAGTACAATAAAACATTTACGAAGAAAATAAATCACAATAATAAAAGTCATCAACAGCCATTTGATAATCTCATAAAAGAGAAAATTTCATCACTTAATATTAATTAACTAAACTCTAGCTTACGATTCAAATCAGTAATTGACAGAAGCAATGTTGCCATTACAAGTAAAAAATGACATTACACAGTTAACATATAATTCAAATAAAATAAAAATCAAGTAAATAACTGGAAATCACATTTTCATTTGCATTATTTCAAATTGTAATAATAAAAATCATATAAATTGAACAGTCGTATCACATCACACATAGCAATGACAGTTCTAAATGTCAAATTTCTGATTCGAATCAAAAACTACATAATAATAATCACTACATTTACTACTGGTGTCGTGGTTCCTGGTACTATATTCCTTATAAAAATCTTATTTTAATCCAACGTGCAGTAACGTTACATAAAACGTCATCTACGTTACATAAATTGTAGTGTACGTCATCACTAACGTTACATAAAATCGTAGTGTACATCACTAATTCCTTTAAGGTCGCTACTTGTGCGTCGTATACGTAAGGGTGCGTCCAAATTATGTTACATGTTATTTAACTTTTGTTATATAACATAACTGTATTTTATAACGTGTTAACATATCCTGGACTCACCATAAGGCCTAACTTTAACACGCGTTCCTCGCCGATTCTAATAATGGTAACTTACTATATTGCTACGATTTTTTGTTTCATTATATCACATGAAAAGTTTATTGAAAATCTCCTATTTTGGATGGTGTGTCGCCTACTTTGTGATGCTAAGTATAGTAAAAGTGTAATTTTGTAATTCTCACCGATAATATTATAATATAAATATATAATTTGACGGCCTGCGTCATCTCATGATAGATGAAAGAGGTAATCACTCTTTATTGTAAAATGATGATAATTATGACGTATTAGTTTTCTTGCTGATTGTGACTCTACTTCAAACTATGAAACGTTGGTTTTTAAATTTTGTCACTAGGTAACGAAATAACTCGTTTGTGTGTAATTAGTACACATTTTTGTTCGTCCGATAAAAGTTACCGGTCGAAAAAAATTTGTACATTGTACTGAAGAAATTTTATGAAAAATTTTTCATATTGTTTTCGTTTAGTTCAGTTGGTACAGTCATGTCACATACGTCAATAGCAGCTCTAAGGCTGACTCCAGTGATGTGACTTGCTTGGTGGAAATCGAGTGGTATAAACGACAGCATGTTAAGAAAAACACTGTGTCGCATGTGGTTGTAAGAAATGTGAGTTTTGCTATAAAAATGGCCGTAATATTTAGTTGTAGATTAAGCTACAAAAATGTAGTCTAATGCGCCGGGTTAGATGCAAAACTGACTAAATTTATTTCGTTTTCTTTTTATTTACTTTTATAGCATTCAACTCAGCATTTGATTTTTTGTTTAGTGGTGATAACCAACGATTTATTGACGAAAATGTTGGTATTGCCTCTAAAGGCTGATTTACACGTATTAAGTAGTTAAGTATTTAACTTTAACTTAATTTTATGTGATCAATTTGCAGCGTAACTAAATTTTAACTTAATTCCAAACGTCAAGCTCTTGTTTACTATGAAAGTGTTTGTCAAAACGTGTCAAAGGACAAGCCCCGCCCACCAACTTGACAGGAAGTACCATAGTTATCTACTTATCTACTTAATACGTGTAAATCAGCCTTTAAAAAGTGAATGTACATCGTGTCACAGCAAATAAAATGTTTTTACTACAGCAATGCTGCCCATGTACGCCACTCTGCAAATCTATACTTACTAATATTATAAAGCTGAAGAGTTTGTTTGTTTGTTTACTTGAACGCGCTAATCTCCGGAACTACTGGTCCGATTTGAAAAATTCTTTCAGTGTTAGATAGCCCATTTATCGGCGAAGGCTATAGGCTATACAATATCACGCTACGATCAATAGGAGCAGAGCAATAATGAAAAATGTTGCGAAAACGGGTTTTCACGCGTACGAAGTCGCGGGCACAGCTAGTAAAGTATGTTTTGCTAATTCTGCACAGCGATCGCTCTATCAGCCTCCTGCGGCGCGGCGGCGGTGACGGTAGCGGTGGCGGCGGTGGCGGTGGCGGTAGCGGTGGCGGTGGCGGTAGCGGTGGCGGCGTGCGTGTAGTCGGCGATGGCGACGGCGGGCGCGGCGGCGGCGAGGCGGTCGAGCGGCCGGAACGACCAGCCGCCGGCGCCGTCGAACTCTAGCACGTGCGTGTGGTATTTCCTGGAGAAATATTTTTACATTAAGTATGCTTAACATTTACGATTGTTGAGTATCAGAGCGTGACATGTGTTTTAGGGAGATTTTGTTTTTTTCTTTTACGCACGATTATAAAAAACTAGCTTTCCGCCCGCGGCTTCGCGCGCGTGGACTACATTATCTCCATATTTTACGGAACCCTATTTTTTTTTTTTTCAAAAAATATGTTACTCGTGGATAATGTAGCTTTCGAATGGTGAAAGAATTTTTAAAAACGGTCCAGTAGTTTTTAAGCCTATTCATTACAACCAAACAAAGTTTTCCTCTTTATAATATTAGTGTAGCTACCAGTGTTATCACGAGTTGAGCGCCGAGTGTACGGGTCGTTCGCAGCATTTGACAGTCAAGTCATAAGCCAGTCCAAACCGATCGACTACCTACGGCTTTATGGCAAGACACGCACTTTTTACTCTCAAGCCATGTCACCCGAGGCAAAAGAAACCAATATGAGCCAGTTTGAGTATACATATCAATCGTCAGGCTCATGGCCTTACTGATGAAGTGACTGTGGGTGAATCATATAGCTCTTAGAGCTAATGGTCGTTGATGATGATGGGCCGGTGCGTGATGGACAGCAGCGTGATGCCCTCGCGACGGCTGCCTCGTCATCACCACCTGATGATGATGATGATGATGATGATGGTACTCACCAGACACTGGGCCGGTGCGTGATGGACAGCAGCGTGATGCCCTCGCGACGGCTGCCTCGTCATCACCACCTGATGATGATGATGATGATGATGATGGTACTCACCAGACACTGGGCCGGTGCGTGATGGACAGCAGCGTGATGCCCTCGCGACGGCTGCCTCGTCATCACCACCTGATGANTCCAGCTATGGTGTTGGGTTACTTACCTACGTGAGTGCGACAAACGTGCGACAAATGTTACATGAGTTGTACCTGCGTACCTACTCGTAGTTCTTGTTATCTAAATAGGTACTTCATAAGGTAACGCATTTTCTTACATAACTTTTCAATTCCTATCATTGAAGGTCCGAAAATATTTCTCATACAATTTGATACCATAATGATCATTCTTCATAAAAAATTTAAAACCTACATATTTAAAAACATAATCATAGATATTCATAATATCACTAATCATACACTTAGTTTTTACTAATATTTGTTTTCATATATTTTTCTATACTAATGATCGAAACTCATAATCATTCGAATAAATAACTATAATATTCATAAATGTGATGTACCCTAATATTTGTTTTCATAAATTTANAATGGTTTGAATAAGGAACATGAAGTATCTACATGAACTGTGGACGTGGTTATAAGTTAAATATTAAAAGTATGTACGTGAGGTAAAGAAGTAAAGAGACTGGTTATATTTCCTTATTTGTTAGGAATAATTTAACTGTAAAGTGAATAGAGCTTAGTCTTATAGTTTATTTTTGGTATACCTACTTCAATAATATTTGGCAATCTTTACATCAAAAACGGATTCTTTAAATCTTTAGTTTTTTTTCGGATAGTTGTCAGCTTTTTTTGTGCTATCCACAGGATAGCTAGATTTATTGGCGGTGACTATTGCGAACATCGTAAACAAACCGTCTTGTAGGCTCTATGAATGGGAGGAACTGCTAGCTCGTTAGACACGGGCCACAGAGCCAATGTCGCGCCCAATGCCAAACATTGTTCGGAAGGAAGCGCCTTTGTCTAGAGAAGCTACCCACTAGTACAGTCGCTAACATTTAAAACTAAAGGTTTTTTGCAAAATATCAGTTATTACAACGGTATTAGATAGTGTAGTTAGATATACCTTGTTGGTCGTTTGTTAATTCAGTCGGGAAGTTTCAGACTGCAGAAATTTATTGGTGATAAATTAAATGTTATAAGGTTTATTGATTTGCGTCCCGGACTAAGCCAGGGATCGGTTCCACCCCCGGTAATTTTAAAGAAAAGTAATTGACAGGACGTTACGTGTTCAGAATTGGTCTATTCCAGAAGTCCTCCTATGATCTTCAGATTAATTTCGTTGTGGGTCCAATGACAGTTTAACTTTCCCCCGGGAGAACCTTGACCTTCACTGGTTGAGATTTTATTGGCGGTCACGCTCTAGATCCTGGCTACACAGGAGTTGCAGTGGTGGGAACGAGAGGTGGGAATAGTCCCGTTTTATTCCAGAAGTCCACTTTCTTGACCAAATCTAGGTGATCAAATCCAGGCGATCAAAGTGGAATAGACCCCATAATTATGTCATTGTGAGCTTTTTAACTGAAGTTGAAAATTACTAGCAGATTGGTTGAGTATAATATTTGACAGTAACAACTTCACTGCTGACTGTACTGCTTAAACTTAAGCTAAGCCTACGCATCTCCCAAATTTTCTCACAGCCGCTAAATTGGCGTCCAATTTTGACGGATAGCAACTATTAATCCTGAATGATTGCTGATGAAGATACTAAACGATAGCAAGCTTTCACTGCTCCTATTGTTTCGTTTCATAATACTGTTACGTATAACTTAATCTGCTAGAAAGTCTTACATTGTAACTGTATCGATAATAGGATCGTAGTTTATAGGGTCTGATCTTGTGCTAAATGCTTTTTGGTGTTTTGTCATTGTTAATAAGTTATGCTCTTAAAAAGGGCAATTACTTTTTAATCTTCGTTGATTCATTTTAACTTAATACCTTCTTTAGAATAAAGACACTTTTCAAATAAGCCTTATTTTTAAAAAGCATCGCGCGTGTTCGACAGAAGTTTTATACGAGTAGAATTATCATTCCTTGATTTTTATTGTAATTTATAGCTATCGATTACATGATAGCAAGTAGTTATACTGCAAGTGAGTCATTAAGGTACTAATTTTATTTCGCATCGCACGATATATCATTTTGCACTTTCACTGTCGAGTCTAAAGTCACTAGGCTGACAAATAAGATTATAGGAACTTCTTATGCTAAAATTCAGTTAAATGTGCAATGCCCAATTAAAAACACCTATGTATGTACCAAATGTATTACAAATAAATATATTTTCTATTTTTTTCCACTTTCTTACCTATAAGTGTCAGGCTTTTATTGACATGTTTGTGTTCATCAGATCGATGTTTTTTATGGGAATGTGATAAAAATGCCAGCCGTCCCGTCGCAGGGTCCCTCCTGAGACCTCTTTGGCTGGCTTGATGAGATGCGAACTAAATTTTAACTAAGTTTTTGCGTACGAAATGCGGAGTAAATCTGATGCAGTATAGACTTGACAGGACAGGCTGACGTTCTTACCAATGAAGTCCACTTGTCGTTTGACGTGTGAAAGAAACGGCCTTAAACTTAACTAAGGCGGTTGACTTCAGCTTAATTCGGTTGACTTTAGCTTAATTTTCAACAGCACTAACGTAACTCTTTCCTTGTTCCAGCTTAGGCCCATTTGAGGCGGCGGCGGGTGCTGAGATGGTGTCACGGCGTCGCATTCTGTCGCGCTCCCGCGACGACCTCACGCAGGCCGCGCAGTTGGAAGAGGAGGAAGATGTGTGGTACCAGAAGGATAAACTCTATAAGGTAAGGTATAAGGTTTAGTTTGCTTTGGCTTGACTCACGCAGCTGGTAGTGGAGGTGGTACCAGAAGGATTTAAACTTTATCAAGTAAGAAATTTGGACTAGTTTGCTTTGGCTGGATTCAGATAGAGAGCTGGTGACATTCTCACGCAGGCCGCGCAGATGGAAGAGGAGGAGGATGTGTGGTACCAAAAGAATAAGCTCTATAGAGTAAAACATTGGGTCTAGTTTGCTTTGGCTGGATTCAGGATAGACCGCTGGTGACGTTGTCACATTTGCGCGACCAAAAAAGGAGTAGACTTTAATTTCCAATTTACGCTACCTGACCTGACGCAGTACGCAGAACTGACGGCCGATTGGGCAGCAAGGTTCTGGTGTGGAGTCCACGTACCGGAAAGCGCAGCGTAGGACGTCCACCCACAAGGGGGACCGAAGAGATCATAAAGGTAGCGGGAAGGCGATGAATGCAGGCCGCCACCAACCGGCCATTGTAGAAATCATTGGGGGAGGCCTATGTTCAGCAGTCGACGTCCTATGACTGAAATGATGATGACGATGATGATGCTACCTGACCATGCCATGCTATCAAACTAATCCAAATACTTATCTGGCCCAAACTAGATAGAGCTTATAAATGGACAAATACAAAACAGAGGTAGGAACTAAAATGTGAATTATATCTTTGTTGCTCGCAGTCATCACACTAATATTTGCTCCATCTGGATTCAAAACTGCAACCGCAACTGGCTTCATAGTCAAAGACTATAATAATATCATGTAATTATTCTAATATGTATTTGTGTTTAGTCAATATCTAATTGCCATGACATATAAGCTCTATCGTTTGAGGTTGATGATTGATGACTGTGATTGTTAGAAAAAACATTTATTCAATTTTATTACATGTCATTACGCATACTTATCTATAAATGTACATCAATATTATGTCTTTCTCCTCACATTTGCGTCAAGCGTCACAGACAAGCACTTGCGCAAGTAACCTTTAATCACTGACGCATCTTCAAACTCAATACGAGTCAATGCTGCGTTTTAAAATTATTTTACATAAATGTCTGCACCGTTTCACAAATTTCACATCACGCACGAGCCGGGTCCGCTAACTCCGTCGCGTGCGCAGCGTGACGCAACGTGCGTTCGTGCATCTTACACGTTTTCTATTGCGAGATTCTTGAACTGCATCGGTCTGACTAGATTTTCAGGTGTACCTAATTTTTATTTTATTTTTCAATGCCTATTTTGCAGCATTTTTTTTAAATAAAAATTGGTACCAAAATTTGCCTAAACTAGGTACTCTTTTAGTACTATTGGTACAGACAACAGCTCAGCAAGGTAAACTTCGGCATCTTATCAAGTACTTGTAGAAGGTACTCGTTTGAAACAGATATTGATAGTCTAATGTGCTTTCGCCTGTACTGTAATTTATGTTATTATAAGCGTAAACAACATAAATGTAAGTGAAAGGACAATTTAGTACTATTGGTACAGACGACAGCTCAGCAAGGTAAACTTCGGCATCTTATCAAGTACTTGTAGAAGGTACTCGTTTGAAACAGATATTGATAGTCTAATGTGCTTTCGCCTGTACTGTAATTTATGTTATTATAAGCGTAAACAAGATAAATGTAAGTGAAAGGACAATTTGTTTTCTAATCATTCTAATTACAGCTGTTAACATAAAACGTCTAATTTAACTTTCTAACAACCTTTATAAGGTACGAGTATTTGCGAACTAAAAGAACTACTTATACTTTAAATTTTAGTGTGTCTAATGAACGAGGCAGTTACTTATATTACGGTAGCACTTTCCACACGCAAATCATAGCACGTTCGAATCATTTGCTGCTAAATTTGTGGATCAGTTAACACAGGTGCTGGTAAAAGTGGATAATAGAACTAAAATGACACATTAAGCTCGAAAGCGGTTACGGTTGTGACCATTATGTCAAGTTATCGGAGTGAAATCAAAGTGTAATGTGCAGTTTTCACAAATGCGGCTAAAGTGATCGGTTGTACGGTTGTGGGTTTGAATATTATAGCAATTTGGATGACAATAATAGAGATACCTACTGAAGGTAGGATAAGGAAGTCTGAAGTCGATGATTTCGATGTCGAAAGCTCCATTTGATAAAGTTGTTCCTCCTCTAGCCCTTCGAGATATCTACATACCTCTTGCATCCTAACTGAGACTTACCATCTGGCCATACCTACTC